TAGCATTCAAAAGGTGCAAAACAAGAGTAGAATCAGTTTCAACAATAAGCTTTGTCACTTGCAAACTTTGAGCTAGCTTTAGACCATGATACAACACCCACAGTTCAGCCACCAAAATCTCCCCATGACCCAAATTAGCAGAAAAACCTGCTACCCACTCACCAACAGAATTGCGAATAAGGCCCCCAGCAGCAATAGCGCCACTAGAACCAATTCTAGACCCATCAATATTCAGTTTCATGGTAGAAACAGGGGGAGGCTTCCACGCCAGCAACGTTTGCATCTTGAGCCTATGGAACCCACCCTTTTTATTAGCAAAGTCCCATTGCACAAGAAACCTCAAAATCCATTCATTGGGTCGATCAGGATAGTGGAAGGAAGAGTCAAAGACAGTGTAGCATCTCCATTTCCATATGAACCAGCAACCAGTCGCAAAAATATTACACCATCTCAAGTTGAAAGAATTAACAACAGCAGTTTTTAGGTTTAAACGCAACCAACAATTAAAGTCAGTAGCAAAGGATACCTTAACACAATCAGGTAAGGAGAAGGAGTTCCATATTGCTTGAGCTCGAGGACAACGGATGAACACATGCTGAAGCGATTCCATATGGCAATGACAAAACGGACAAGCTGAATTATTTGTCATTTTTCTTCTTGTTCTCTGTACATTGGTCAGAATTTTATTTTGGGATAATAGCCACAGAAACACTTTTAGTTTGGGAGGAATCTTAAGCTTCCAAATAAAATACCAGCTATCATCATCCCCTTGAGACAAGCTGGAGCAAATATTATAAGCAGATTTAACTGTGAACTCCCCATTGGGACTAGGACCCCAAACAAGTGTGTCAGGAGAAGAACCATCAAAGTCAGCAGGAGTGCTAATAATTTTCTGGACCACATCAACATGTAACACTTCAAGGAGTTTGGGAATATTCCAACCAGATTGGGTAAAATAATTGGCAACCACTTCATGGACATCAATCTCCTCAATATTGAGAGGCGTAGAGTCAATTAGGATGCCATCCAAAACCCAAGGATCTGTCCAAAAATTAATTCTATTCCCATTTCCCACTCTCCACTTCCTGCCCGCACTTAGGATTTCAGCACCAAATAGAATGCCCTTCCAGGTGCTGGATGCACAAATAGAGTTCACATTATAGTTATCAAAGGACGTAGTCCCCTTTAAATATTTCTTTCTCATCATGTTAGCCCAAAGCCCATCATGGTTATTGGTAATTCTCCAGCTAGCCTTGGCAAGCAACGCTTGGTTCATCGAGGTAGACCTTTTAATCCCAAGCCCTCCAAGCCTTTTTGGCTTACACACAATATTCCAGTTCACCAGATGTACCTTACGAGTAGTCACAGTACTACCCCAGAGGAAGTTCCTATTAGCCTTGTCTAGGTCTGCACAAACAGAAGCAGGAAGCCTAACAGTTTGCATCGTGTAAAAAGGGATGGTAGAAGTGACTGACTGAATTAGTGTGAGTTTACCAGCCAAAGAGAGGAGATTACTCTTCCACGAGGAAAGCCGAGATTGGACCTTATCAACAACTTCCTTATAAGTATTTCTAGAAATTCTACCTTGAATAAGTGGAACTCCAAGATACTTACCCAGGTCGGGGGAGAGATGAGAGCCACAAATTTTAGCAATTTCAGTAGCCACCTCTCGCTTAGTGTTTTTAGAGACAAAAAGCATCGATTTCTCAAAGTTAACCTGTTGGCCAGAAGCACAACAGAAGGCATCTAAACACTCTTTCATAATCTGGGCTTGTCGCATAGACGCCTCACCAAAGAGGATGAGATCATCAGCAAAAAACAATGGCGTACATTCAAGGTTAGATTTAAATTTATAAAATATTTTGCTACAGAACTTTAGCATATTGACGTTGACCTAAAATCTTTCAACTGCAGTCACTGAAAGGCTGAAGAAACTGGCTCCAATTGAAATTGCCAATTAATTAGGCGGATTATGATTTGCTTCCAGAAGCTTGTTGGCTTGTAAAGACAAACGAAAAAAAGGACAAAGTATAAAACTCGGAGTTAAAAATATTTGTCATGTAGTAAAAATAAAAGATAATATCACTATGATTTGGGCCGGTTCGATTCGACTTGTGAACAAATTTTGGGCAGACTTTACTTTTGGCCCAAATTTCAATCTGCATTTTCATACAGCAAACCCTAATTTTATAATTGATGAAACAAACCTGCATTTTCAATCTCCTTATTTCATTCTAACATCTGCAAATACTCAAATTTCAAAAACATTCAAAATCTACAACCTGCATTTTCAGAATCCACAATCTGCATTTTCAAATAAATACTAACTTATTGATCATCATGTAATCTATCATCTTCAAGAAAAGAAATATCAATTACACTTTTGGAGGCTCGTTAACGATTGATTAGTTCACGGTAACTTAGTTTACAGATCGAAATGGTTTCTTTTATTGAACAATGTATAGGTTGAGTGATGAAACCCTTTTAGCTATTCATGTCATACTACATGTACATGCTACCAACTATTTTATTTTATTTTTTGGTTTTGGTTTCCCAGGGTATCCCCGCGGAACTGCAGAAACTAAATCCCTCGAGGTACGGTTAGGTGCAAAGCGGGGACCTCTCCCAACAGAGTCTGCTCTATTCGCAAGCGCCTGAGATCGAACCCAGGACCTCTTGTTTAAAGGATCCAAGCCCCTTCCACTTGGACCAACTCTTGTTGGTTGCTACCAACTATTTTTCAAACGTACACTTTGTGAACGAAGCAGTAAGGTTATCTTAAAGCATGACTAAGTGAAATTTTAAATTGGAATTAGAATCTTATAGTATCCAACTTAAAATGAAATAAAATACTAAATTACAATACACAATGAGTGACGTAAGAGCACATGTGAACTTTGAACCCAAAGCCAAAACATGAATATCGGACCCTGGTACCACAGTAAAGCCAAAGTCTGAAGTCAATGTGATAATAGGGCATAGAAAGGCTTCTGCTTCCTCTTCTTTTTGAATGACCCGTGAGTGTGACCGGCCTTTTCAGCCATGGCGTACATTTATGACTTTGAGGTTAGATATGTATAAATTTATAAAACCTAACACCTTTCAGTCTCTGGCTCACTGAAAAGCTGAAGAAGAGAAACTGGATCCAATTAAATTTGTCGACTAATTTGTAGGTTATGACTGCATATGTGCCGCCATTAAGGGGTGTGTTTTCCAGAAGGTTGTTGACTTATAGAGAAAAACAAAGAAGCACCCATCGCAATCCACAAATTATCAAAATCCATTGTCCATTTGATTTAGATAAATTTTTACAAGTCATTGTTCTCATAGCTTTTTGACTCGAGGAAAAATAACAGGCGCAATGAAATGTCTGTGGAAATCTAGAAATTACAGAGGCATGTGATGCGTTTTCCACAAGCTTTTTGACTCAAGAAAAAAACAACAGGCTTAATGAAACCATTGACAATCCAAGTTTCTACAGTGCACCACACGAGAATTTCCGGAAGGAAAATACTTGGCTCCTTTCTTACAGACAAATTACAGTAAAATATATATGTGCAGAAACTTTTCCTTTTGCAATTTTAACGAGTTAGTCTTGCACGTGTATTAGACGTACCGTAGTGTCTTTTTGGAAGAAGAGGCTGATGACAGCAAAACCTTCATTCTAGAATAGCTTGGTTTGGTTGGATCCTAGTAATTTCTGAGTCAAATCAACCTAGGTCCGGATGACACCCAAATGCTGGAACTCTTGTTTGCTCATGAAAGTGATCGCACGAGTAACGTCGTCGTCGGACCAAAAGTTTTTCTTCTTCTAGAATGACAGATTATGTAGTGGTTTGAAAATTCGCACAGAATAATCCAAGTGGGTTATTGATATTGAAGATAAAAATACAAACAAACAAAAAGGTCGTATTGTTGATGAGTTGCTTTTGGTGATAAAATAACCTACCTTTATTTAGCTTGACACTTCAGCAACAAAGTAGTTCGACTAACAATTGAATTTTTTTTATAAAGTTATTTAGGTTGAGAGTGAGCCTGAAAACATAATAAAATGAACTAGAACTGTGCAGGATGTGCAATGCTTAAATGAATGATTGATTAAGGGGAAGGGCAAATTATACGAATGGTCCCTAAATTTTAACCAAAATTTCATTTTGGTATGCATACTTTCATATGTGTGTCCAAACTCCTTTAACGAAGACACTATGAAGGTGCTATGAGAGTTTGAATATATGACTAAGGATTTGCAAGTGAGTCTTTTCACTGGGCTAAACCCCATCAGCACTTTCGATTTTAAGTTTTAAGTATCACACTTTGGACTAAGGACTACACCAATAAATGAAATCCAACCTAAAGAAAATTGAATTGAAATAAGATTTTCTTGCTGCATCCGAGGAACGAGTATCTTGTTAGAAGAACTTTACATCTAACTATATTGGAGTTGATACATAGAAGTATCAGCCAACCACCTTATTAAGAAGTGTCAAGATCTAAAGTGAACCTTTGACCAAGAGCATTACTCTAGTCTATAATATTAGCGTGGAAAAAAGGAAAAAGGAGGCGCCTTGTTTTTTCCTCAACTTGCATAGTCCACAATTATATCCCTGACTACTGCAATTTGAAAGCCATCCACGGGCTACATCAAAGCTTTCAACTTCCAACCACAAGGTGTGGTGTGATTGGTAAACTATTACCTTCAGTTGGCGAGCTACTTAGAGCCTCAATGGCAGGGATTCAAAATCCGTTGAAAGTACTTTGTAGTCAGGAACAAGTCGAAACCTGAGCAGAGATTAATCTCACCCTTCAAGCATGGGACACTTCGTAATATTTATCCAAAAAAAAACCTAAAAAATATATATATTTCAAGGAACGTTCCCTTTTTATTTTCAATATACAAAATCTTCATTGTAAGAAAATTATTAAGATTTTTTTTTAAATACAAGCCATAGCCTAACTATAATGAAAAAGATTTCTTACGCCTGCTATGTCATTGTAAGAAAAAGTTAAAGAAATGAAGTGCGCTTTTAATGCTTGGTAGGGAAGGGACCAAAAATGTCTGCTACAGACAAGTCAACTGCGTGCAGTTCTGGGTCTTTGGGTTCTTCTTAATGCTCCACCAAATAGTATCAATACTTCAACTTGTAAGCAGTAAGCTTGATACTGAGAAAGCTAAAATAGATTTCAATGGAGCTCCTCTGTTTCTTGGTTTTCAGTATCTGCTTACTCTTTTCTCTGAGCAGAATTTCATCAGCTGCTGATACCATTACTTCATCTCAGTCCCTCAGTGATGGCAAGTCATTGGTTTCGTCTCCGGGTGGAATATTTGAGCTGGGTTTTTTCAGTCCAGGCATGTCCAAGAGCCGCTACTTGGGAATTTGGTACAAGAACATCCCAATTCCAACTGTTGTTTGGGTTGCAAACAGGCAAACTCCAATCAATGGTTCCACTGGCAGCTTAATGATCAACAGCACAGGCAATCTTGTCCTTGTCAACAACAACAACAACCAGACTGTTTGGTCTACAAATTCATCAAAACAGTCCCAGAGCCAGAGCCCTGTCCTGCAGCTCCTGGATAATGGCAATCTTGTCCTCAGAGATGAGAAAGATGCAAACTCAGAAAACTACTTGTGGCAGAGTTTTGACTACCCATCTGATACTTTGTTGCCAGGAATGAAGCTTGGATGGGACTTGAGGACCGGACTTAATCGACGTTTAACGGCATGGAAAAGTCCAGATGACCCTTCTCCAGGGGACTTCATCTGGGAAATGGAGCTGCATGAGTATCCGGAGCCAGTTATGTGGAAAGGGTCCAAAGAGTACCTGAGAAGTGGCCCATGGAATGGTGTTTTGTTCAGTGGTAAACCAGCCAACGCACTTCCTGCATTGAACTTCAGCTTCATCTCCAATGAGGATGAGGTTTACATGACAATCCACATGGTGAATAAGTCTGCACTTGGAAGGATGATGATGAACCAAACCACGTCGCCGCCGTATCGACAGGAGTGGATTTGGTCCGAAGCAGACCGAAATTGGACAATTTATGCATCGTTTCCAAGAGACCCTTGTGATAGTTATGGCCACTGTGGTGGTAATGGCAATTGTGTTCTTAGTTCATCCCCAATTTGTCAATGTTTGGATAGGTTCAGTCCTAGATCACCGGAGAACTGGAACTTAAATGAGTTTTCACAAGGCTGTAAGCGCAGGAAGCCATTGAACTGCAAGAATGATGGATTCGCCACGTATCCCGGGTTGAAATTGCCTGATACTACGCATAGTTGGGTAGATAAAAGCATGAATCTCAAGGAATGCAGGGCCAAATGCTTATCTAATTGTTCTTGTTCGGCTTATACAAACTTGGATGTGAGAGGAGGAGGCAGTGGTTGTGCCATCTGGTTCGATGATCTTGTCGATATCAAGCAAATGCCAGGTGGTGACCAGGATATATATATCAAGATATCTGCTTCAGAACTAGGTATGAACTTATGGATGTTCCAATTTGATCTTTATGAATTAAAATGTCCCTTTTCTGTTGTAACTTGGAACACATCACTAAATCTACGTGTGATCTTTCAGATGACGTCAAGACGAGCAAGCCCTCTGGTGTAAAGAAGAAAGTGGCAATCATAGCCAGCGTTGGGCTGCTAGTCATGGGAGTGATAATACTAGGATTGGTTTTTTACAAGCGGAAGTTAGTTGGCTATTGTTGCATTCTCAAAGCCAGAGGCAGGAAAAATGTCAAAGGTAAGATTACCCACTCTAACCGCCTTTGCAGTGATAGAATTAGAGCCATATTTATCTTCAAAAACTTGCAGGAAGATTTTCCTACTAATTGTAATAGAATCACTAGTTCATTATCTTGAACAAGAGTAGCTATAATGACTGATAGTTTTTACTTTTTATTGGTTATATAAGGTCAAGACATTGAAGAACAGAAAGATGAAGATCTGGAGCTACCATTGTTCGACTTGACAACAATAGAGGGTGCCACTAATTTCTTTTCAGTCAACAATAAGCTTGGTGAAGGCGGTTTCGGACCTGTATACAAGGTAGTTTTTAATCTGCTAGTATAAGAACCATAGTTTGAGGAAGCACTTGCTTCATTTGGGACATCACCATCTTTCTGCAAATATGAATAATCTTCAGGGTAGACTCGTAGATGGTCAAGAAATTGCAGTCAAGAGACTTTCAAGAAGTTCTGGACAAGGAATAAAGGAGTTCAAAAATGAAGTAATACTGATTGCCAAACTTCAACACCGAAATCTTGTAAAGCTTCTTGGTTGCTGCATTCAGGGAGAGGAGAAATTGCTGATCTATGAATACATGCCCAACAAAAGCTTGGACTACTTCCTTTTTGGTTTGTTCCCTTAAAATTCTGAATCTAGTTGGACTTTGTTTTTGGTTTGATCCCTTGAAATTCTGATAGTGTAGTGGGACTAGCCTACTGTACAATACTCCTCTGAGAATTCAAGTTTAAAACTTTCCAGATGAAGCACGACGTAAATTGTTAGATTGGCCTCAGCGCTTCCAAATTATCTGTGGGATTGCTAGGGGACTTCTCTATCTTCATCAGGATTCCAGACTGAGGATTATACACAGAGATCTCAAAGCAAGTAATGTTTTACTTGATAGAGACTTGAACCCGAAGATCTCAGATTTTGGTCTTGCTAGAACTTTTGGTGGAGATCAAACTGAAGGAAATACAAACAGAGTGGTTGGAACATAGTAAGTATTTCTGGCATTTTCTTTGCATACTATACAATTCTCCTTTTGTTTGTAATTTAACATTGCTTAATTTGTTTCAATGATCTTTTCCATATATAGTGGTTACATGGCACCTGAATATGCTACTGAAGGGCAATTCTCAGTGAAATCTGATGTCTTTAGCTTTGGTATTTTACTGCTGGAGATAATAAGTGGAAAGAAAAGCAAAGGGTTCTATCATTTGAACCACCGCCTGAATCTTATTGGAAACGTAAGTTAAACCAGTAAGTTCAAGCCCAAGATTTCTTTTTTCTTATGTATATTAAAAGAATGAATGACAAATATGTTCAACATGTTTTAGGCATGGAGATTGTGGAAAGAAGGAAGGCCATTAGAGCTGATTGACGAAGGGTTTGGGAACTCGTGCACTCTATCAGACGTACTGCGATGCATCCATGTCAGTCTGTTATGTGTGCAACTACAGCCTGAGGACAGGCCAACCATGTCGTCTGTAGTTCAGATGTTATGTAGTGAAAATGCCTTGCCTGAGCCCAAAGAACCAGGATTTGTTCCAGAAAAGGATTTACTCAACGGAGAGTTTCCCCTAATTAACAACAAACCATCTTCTAATGGTTTAACCATTACACAACTCGAGCCTCGTTAAGGATCATTAGATCATATAAATTTATGCAGTGTTGTTTGTCATACATTGTATATATGTTTAAGTCTTCCAATGCCCAAGTTACAATAGACCTTGTTGTCAAATTTTAACTGTTACAATGTACTCAATATTGAAATAATCAGTGCCTTTTTCCCTCTACTTGTCCATAATCAAACCAAGACTGGATTTTTGCCCAATTCACCCTGCCCCAACCAGCTACAAGCAGTTCTGTGCTGCAAATGTAATGTGGACATACAAAGTTGTTTCTATGGTTTATGGTGATAAATCTAAAAAGTTAGTGCCTATAACTGTCTCCAATTGCAAATGTAAGACACGTTCTGTAGGTTATCAATCAGGTCAAGACTCCAGAGGACATGCCAAAACTCTTGGCACTTCGTCCTCGATTTCAGGCAGGTAGCGCAGCTTGCAGCATATTACAGCACATCATTTGTCAGCAATGAGACCCTAGCAAATATTTGTTTTAAGTACAAGGAAGGCCAGAAGGAGAGGGGAGGTTTATTTGAAACTTGACTCCCTTGCACATATTATACAATACTTTAACTTGCCACTTGACTATAACAGAGGAAAAGAATTAAAATTGTCCACGCAACTTGCAGACTGTTTTTAATAAAATTATATTCTTGACATTTCAGTTGCTGGGATGCCAATCTTAACGTTTCAACATCGTTGCTTTCTTTGCCATTCGTTCTAGTTGCCTTTGAATTTTTTGGATGCCTTTCTTTGGCATACAGTTCAAATAACATTTGCTTTTACTCTTCCAACTTTTTTTATAATTTTTGGGTCCAATAGTCCCTGGAATTACACATGCGGCAACCACATTAATCAAATCACATGTTGACAAACTGCCCCACCAACTTCTAGCTCGTTTTTTCAGGCAAAGAAATCTGTTTTCATCATTTTGTGGGTCAAAAAGTCAACTAACTTGTGGTTGAGGTCTATGCCCTTAGGCTCCTTCACAATGTCTCCATCTAGCTATAATTTTCATCTGCAACTTGTTCACGTTAAAGACACTGCAGTTGTGAATTGAAATTAGTAGGCATACTAGTCCAAGACTAGAAAACAATGGACAAAATTCTTTCATTCATTTCCATTGGAATTCATGTGTTCCTCATTTTCTGCAGAACCTCAACTGCAGCTGACAACTTGATCTTCAAACATGGCAGCTTTCAATTGGGTTTCTTACATACTGGGGTTTACCAGCGTCTATTAGCATCAACTTCAGGAGATTACTGTAACAACGATGGCCTTTGTGGCGCCAATGGAATGTGTGACATTAGTAATTCACAAGTCTGCAGTTGTTTAAAAGGGTTCAAGCCCAAAAGACCAGAAAATTGGAACTTGGGAGAATATACAGAAGGTTGTGTGCGGCCTGAACTTTTGAAATGCCAAATTAAAGTTGGGTTTATGAAATATGCTGCAGTGAAATTGCCAGATATCACAAATTCTTGGGTCAATCTAAGTATGAGCCTCATGGAATGCAGAGCAAGTTGCTTGAGCAACTGTTCTTGTATGGCTTACTCAAGCTCCGGTATCAAAGGAGAAGTCAGTGGCTGCACCATCTGGTTTGGTGATCTTATCAACATTAGAAAGCTTTTGGCTGGTGGTGGGCAGGATCTGTATATTCGAATACCTGCTTCGGAACTAAGTATGTGCAACAGGTTTTTCTTTTGTCATCAATGAATAATTAGGTTCTCCATTATGTATTTATTTAATCATATTGCCTGCTGAATCCATTATATTATTTCCCCTGCTTTATGTTCTTCACATATTTTTCATTTTAGCTGTGATTTAACAATAACTGTTTTTCCCTGTTGAAACTACTAAGATGCGAATTGCCGAAAGACAAAGATTGCAGTGATAGTTGTATCCATAGCTTCCATTGTTTCTGGGACGCTCTTAGCTGTTTGTTGCATTCGCCGTAAGAGTTCAAAGTTCAAAGGTAATATTTCTTCTATCACCACCTTCTTTGTCTTTTTTCTTTTCTCAATTAGATATTGTAAAGAGGGGCGTTACTTCTCCATTCTGCAATGCAATATCCTGAGCAAGAATACTTTGATGTGTACTCATTTAGTTTCAACTTTCTACGCTTAAGAACACCATAAGTAAACACTCTGAGATTTTGGCACATTGACAGCATCTCATGTGACTCTGAATTCTGAGGCAGGCATGGTGAAACTAATGGATATGGAATGACTTGCATTACAAATAATGATTAAAAGAAACAAAAAACGCAGAAGAAAAAAAAAAGCTATCTGGGAGTGTTGTTGATATTAGCTTAATATGGGCAAGAAGTTTCTTTCCAATTTGTGGTAACTTATATCTAGCATGCTTCTTATTAGAAAAAATGGGGAAGCATGGAACAATGAGTCAGAACTATGAAGGACAGAAAGAAGACCTGGAGGTACCATTATTTAGTCTGTCCGCAATAGCCACTGCCACTAACAACTTTTCATTCAACAAGAAGCTTGGAGAAGGTGGTTTTGGACCAGTATACAAGGTAAATTTCCTATGTGTGAGCAAAAGAACTTTAAGCCTCACTGGAGCAGTTTTTCTTTTTCTTTCTCAAAACTCTGTAATCCTTTTGCTAATGAGAATTTTCAGGGTAGACTAGTAGATGGGCAAGAAATTGCGGTGAAGAGGCTCTCACAAAGTTCAGGGCAAGGATCAAACGAGTTCAAAACCGAAGTACGACTAATAGCCAAACTTCAGCACCGAAATCTTGTGAGGCTTCTAGGTTGTTGCATTGAGGGTGAAGAGAAGTTGCTGATTTATGAGTACATGCCCAACAAAAGCTTGGACTTCTACATTTTTGGTTCGGACCCTTTTTATATCTTACTATATACTTTTGATATCAGTTTTACTTATGAGATCTCAAATTGGAGTGACATGAATTAAAACTTGCTAGATCAAACTCAAGGTAGACTGTTGTATTGGTCAAAACGCTTCCACATTATCTGTGGGATTGCCAGGGGTCTTCTCTATCTGCATCAAGATTCAAGATTGAGGATTATTCATAGAGATCTTAAAGCAAGTAATGTTTTACTTGACAAGGAGATGAACCCAAAAATCTCCGACTTCGGCTTAGCTAAAACTTTTGGAGGAGATCAGAATGAAGGAGTTACAAGAAATGTTGTTGGAACCTAGTAAGTACGTAGAACATCTCTGCTTATGATCTATTAGTTTCTTAACTAATGTGTTTTGCTTCTTGCTCCATTACATCTCTCCTTATTATCTACTAGCTTTTAAATTAATTTGTTATGTTTCTTATAAATACTACAGTGGTTATATGGCACCGGAATACGCCATTGATGGCCAATTCTCTGTAAAATCAGATGTTTTTAGCTTTGGCATTTTGTTGTTGGAGATAGTAAGTGGGAAGAGAAGTAGAGGATTTTATGATCCGGATGAAAACCTTAACCTCATTGGACATGTGAGTATTCTCCATCAAATTCTTCATTTACCTGTGTTTGATGTTGTGGCTGATAAAAATATATATCATGTGCCTCTTAGGCATGGAGATTGTGGAAAGGAGGGAGGTCTCTAGAGTTGATTGATGAAAGCTTAAGCGACTCATGCGCTCTATCAGAAGTCTTGCACTGCATACACATTAGTCTTTTATGCGTGCAACAGCTTCCTGAAGACAGGCCAACCATGTCATCTGTGATTCTGATGTTAGGTGATGGGGGCGCCTTGCCTCAACCCAAAAAGCCAGGTTTCTTTGGTGGAAGATATTCATCTGAAGCAGATTCTTCGTCAAGTAAGAACAAAACATCTTCACCCTTTGACTCTACCATAACCGTGCTGGAGGCTCGATAAGATTCAATCTTATACCATGTAACTTTTTCGAGGTATTATTGATAACAGTGTTGCAGTGCAATTTTCCTGCAGAGCAGTCAAATTATATTAACACATGGAATATTTTTTTTGAATGCACCTTGGAGTAAATGTAACATTATAGCTTCCACTTCGAGGCTCATGTTCTGTTTGAAGCTTGATAGTTGGAGTTTCTGCAAGCACCGGTCTAAAAAAGCTTGGCAGGAATGGATCATGCTGCAGATTTGGGTGCATTAAACAGTTTTGGGCCCTCAATGATGTGTTTCTCAAAGCTTGTGATTGGCATAGAATGATCATGAGCAAGGAAGGATGGGCCATCAATATTAGCTCTCAGTCCCAGTCAGGGGATACAAATTTCATCTGCACACCCAACAGCCAAACATGTAATGGAGGCTAACAAGAACAGCTGTAGAGATCCTACTTGTATAACTTATAATAGAATCACTAATAAATCAGCTAAAGCAGCAAGAAAATGAAAACAGAAAATATCCCTTTTGTTATGAATGTTAAACCAATTGCAATGAATGGCATACATTCTATGCATATCAAAGATTTGATGCAGAAAAAATATATGAAGTGTTGTTTATCATACATTCCATGCATAGATCTTTCTACTGTCCAAGCTAAGTCACTCCTTTTGTAACTTTTTTTTTTCAAGGGCTAAATATCAATCTTTACCTGCTACAATGCACTCAATATTGAAGTTACCAGTACTTACCAAAACTAGATATCTTCCCAATTCAACATGTCTCAACCAGCTAGCCTGATGATGTGCTGCAAATGTATTGTGGGCTTACAACAGCTGTTTTAAGGGATACGATGATTAATCTAAAATGTTAATGTCTAATTTTTTCACATATCATTGTGTTATTGGCCGAGATAGTAAAAAATGATATCCCCGTTACATGAGAGTTTCTCTCGCCTAACAAACATGAGTTAGGCCAATTTACCGGGACATGTACCCCGCCTCATAGATTAGAACAATTTAAACTATGGCTTGTATAAAAAACAAGTTAATGCCTGTAGTTACCAATAATCTATGAACTTACATTTTAGTCCTCAGCCATTCATGTAACTCTTCAAGTCCATCAGGTGTCACAGGCGTTTAATCATTCAGTCAACTCCGTAGATTTTTTATTAAGTTCTGATAAGTGCATTATTTACTATATTTTTATATCTCTTTTATTTGGTTTTTGTAGGGAAAGTTAATTTAAAATAGCATTATTACCTTACTTTCCTTATTTTCAGCTATTCTGCACTCTTGGAAGGATTTCGACTGAAAATCGACTTTTCGAATGAATTTTAGCACAAGGCCAATTG